AGAATGTCACAAGCAGACACGGGAGGACCTCTGCTAGGTTCACTCACTCACCAAATGATTAGAATCTGTATTCCAGCCTTCCAGCAGCTAACGCCTACATATATTATTTTTGTTTAATTCTCAGAACCCCACAACTCTATGAAACTGATATTATTTTCATAACAAACTACTAAATGTCATGGACTTTCTGGGGGCTTGAAAATAATCAAAACCCCAAATGTTAGATTATAAATGTCAATGACCTACTGCAGGTGTGCCCAATCTGAGTACAAGGACCTCATGTGGTAATAAAATACTTTCAATTGCCATTGCCTAATTCAAATGTACATACATTCACAGACTATCCCTGTGGTCTCACTCCCAGGGCCTACAGCCAACTAGCCAAGAAACACCAATCTACTATAAATGCAGACTTGAATAAGCACAAAATTGGGTATGTAATTAGCTCTGCTGAGGCTTAAGGTACTTGCTCTACTACTACCACAGATTTCAAATTATAAATCATCCCTTCCTACATATCCTTCCCTCCCCTGCAAAAACCGAAACTATGCAATTTTAAGATCTATTTTGTGAATTATAGAAATTACCAGAGTTCCAATTGCTACATCTGTTTTGATACGGTCAATCTTTACAAACCTTGAAATACTCAACCAGCATCATCCCTAGGATCAAGAATGAATGAGAAGCATGTTAGGGAGAGGGGAGGCTGAGGCACACGGTGTAGTGACTAAGAGCACGGGCTCCAAAATCAGACCAGGTTAGAATGCCAGCTCCACCTGCACTGCCTATGTGACTCAGGCCTAGTTCTTTAACCTCCCATTGCATCAGTATCCTCATGTGGAAAACACGGACTAAAAAAACCGAAAAAATTTCCACTTCGCAGAGTTTTGATAATTAATATACGTAAAGCAATCAGGACAATGAACTGGCACCATAACAGGTATTACATATGTGCTAGTAAAACAAAAGCTATATGTAAAAACTCAAAACTGGGCTGATATAATTCTGAACAAAAATAAGGGCACTGATTACAAGCATCTTTGAGAGGCTAAGCACAATTTATACATGCTTTTTTTCAGGCATCCACATTGTATGCAATATACTTTCATTCCTGTATATTTTGCAACTTTCTTCTATGAAGAAAGGCAATTTTGCCAGGCACAGTGGCTCACACCTGTAATCTCAGTGCTTTGGGAGGCCAAAGCAAGTGGATCACTTCAGGTCAGGAATTCGAGACCAGCCTGGGCAACATGTTGAAACCCTATCTCTACAAAAAAATACAAAAAGTAGCCAAGTATGGTGGTGCAGGCCCGTAATCCCAGCTACTCGGAAGGCTGAGCCAGGAGAATCGCTTGAACCCAGGAGGCGGAGGTTGCAGTGAGCTGATATTGCGCCGCTACACTCCAGCCTGGGCAACAGAGCGAGACTCTGTCTCAAAAATTTCATCATAGATAGTATATGAGGAATCTAAACTAGCTAATGCACTTCTTTCTTTCCCACCCAGTAACTCTCTTCCATTGTCCTTTTATACTTTTCCTCCTGGTTCATGACTTAAGCTCATCAATGTCTGCCATAAACAGTGCTTGGTACTTAGTCCTGAGAAAACAATCAGAATTTTACATGACAAGACAGTTTCTTTTGTCAAACATCAAGTCAGCTTGTTCATCGGATGTCAATGCTTTCACCAAACATGTCTGCCATAGAGAACTAAGTAAACAACTAAAACAATCCCAAAACACAATTAAATAAGATAATGTGTGTAAAGCACTGAGCACAGGGACTGGCACTCTATAAATGTGAGCTGCTGTGGAAATCTACTAACAATTCTCCTAAAAAGGCACTACTCAGTCTCTCAACTTTAAGGTAAAAATAAATTTGTATTTGATTTCTAGTATACACATTTCTGTTGCTAGAAGCAAATTGAATTTATACATGCAACAACATGGATAAATCCAAAAACAGTGTCTTGAATAAAAGAAGTACATACTATGATTCCATTCATATGACTCCCAAGAACGAGTGGGATCAGAATCAGAAAGTGGCTGCTGCAGAGGGGAGGGGAAAGGAAAAGGAGGGTTGACTGGAGAGAGGTAGGAAAAAATTTTCTGGGGTGATGGAAATATCCCCTACCTTGTTTGGGGTAGTGTTTACATAGGTGCATAAATGGGAAAAAAAATCACTGAACTGAACGCTTAAGATACATACATTTTATTGGATGTAAATTATACCTGAATTTTTAAAAATTTAAAAGACAAATGCATCAGTATCTATTTTTTGTAACTTAGAGTAGGAATGTTATACACACTTAGGTGATTTAGGGGAAGGAAGGTTACAATAATTGCATAAGAAATATGGAGTCAGAGATTTATGAGATATGGTCCAGGGAAGACAAATACATGTATTTGTTCTTTTTATTGTAACTACACCTAAGACTAAAACATTTTCCCCATCCATCTTCTTGACATCCATCTCCTATTGTCTCTCTGAGTTCTGATCATTGGCTCATTCTTCCACTCATCTTCCCTAGACTGTAGTCTGCTTACACCATGATACTAATAGAGTTAACAAAAAGAAAGACTATGAATACCCAATCAAAACAGCAATGTTTTTATTAAATAGACCAGCAGCTGTGTGAGCACAGACTTGTAAATGCATCTGTTCTACAGGATTTTATGTTTAATTCAATTTGTTCAAATCAGAGCACCAAGGCCCTGTAACTGTGGGCTAGACAAGGAAATAGTTTTGCTAAACAGAATCCTATATGAACATGGTATTTTGAGAAAAGAATTGTACCTATTCATTCATTCAGTCATTCACACAACAAGCACTTACTGAGCACCTATTCCATTCCAGCTATTATGTACGATGCTGAAAACGCAAAGATGAAGTACAGCCTGGTAGAGGTGACAGACATCTGAACAGATGGTTATAATACATTGGCAGGTTTAATAATACACTTAGGCCTGGGGTAGTACTATGAAAGCACAGAGCAGGGAAAGATCTCTTCTGAAGTCTGAAGCTTTTCTAGAGGAAAAAGGTACAAAGTGAAAATGAAAAATATACTCCCACCTAACCTCCACCCCATACATGGAGGGCTGCAGCTATATCATTAATGTTTCACTTCTAAATCTGGGTAGGTGATATATAACTGGTCCTTATTCTGTTAATCCTTTTCTCTGTCAAATCTTTCATAATAGAACGTGTTAATACTGCCACCAGGTAGTACCTATAGACTCTGAAAGCCTTCCCCACTTACAGCTCTTTCTTTCACAACCGATCGCTTACGGTCACCAAGGTTAGGTCGCCAACAAAGAAGGGAAATGGGGAACACAGACAGAAGTCCCTTGTAATAGCAGTGTATATGGAGGCCTGAAAAGGCAAATGGAAATAGCCTACCAAGATTTCAAAATACACTACAAAAAACTTTTTTAAATACAAAATGGGTATGGAGAACATATTCCAACCTCATTTTATACATACACAGTAAAAAAATAAAATATATATATATACCTGTGCCATATAGAGAAAAAAAGTTATCACCAACAACTAATCCCATTCATTCTGACCACTGTTCTCTCAACAAACATTACTGAACACCTGCTCCACACCACACAGAGAGAAAAGCAAGCTCCTGCCTCCAAGGTGGCTGCAGTCAAGTGGGAGGTGTCAGTCCTGTGAGCTGACTCCTAAAGTACAATGGGTAGGTTCTATGACAAGGACTAGCATAGAGTTTGCTACGAGGAACACGGAGAAACAGAAGGTGCCAAGCATTGCAACATTTACCATCTTCACAGGTCACACAAATAAATGCGTTACCCGGGAGTAAAAATGCTACAGAATAAAATCTGAAAATGCAGAAGACGTGAAGTTAATAAAATAAGAATTGCTTTACCACAAAATCTCACAAAACTGTTGAATTTTATTATACTTCATACCCAATTTCAAAGAGCATAAAATTTTCAGCAATGATGAAACACCAATTGTTCTCCTATTCCATACCCAGGAGTCACGCCATCTTGCTAACACCTCCTCTTAATGGTTAAAAAGAAAAAGAAAATTGACAAAATTCTGGAACTTGTTTAAAAGACAGGTGTCACTATCATGCTGCAAATATCCTAGCTTAAGCCAAAATGACTGATAGAGACATGTGCTGGGGCCTCCAGACAAAGGTAGACTTCTCATGACTGGAGTAACTGTGTAACATGTTTACATGTGTAACATAACTCAGCTATTTATTTTTCTTTTACAGTTCTCAGACACTAAATAATGATCTTTAAATCAGTGTTTTGGAATGTTCATTTTTCCATCCTCAAAACACTGTTAAATACAACATAAAAAATAAATTCCTTACATATATATGTCTATAGCTAAGTCAACTTAAGGTACTTTTGAGTTAATTAACTGACTTCCCTCTCCTTGTGATCCTATAGTTATGCTGTAAGAACAGTGCTGCTCCTTACACACCTCCTCCTCTTAGCATTCGAGAGTTTAAAGGTAAGGGGCACGACAGATTTGTGATGTTTTGATAGAGTGTGTTGCCATGGAAATGACTGCCTTGTTCCTTATGAAGCATCATGACCTCATTGCAAATGAAACAGGAAAAGGATGATTTCTGAGGATTCAACTGAAAGAAAAATTAATGGCTGGGGAAAAAAAGATCCAGAAACTAAGCAGACAATGTGAAAAATATTGCAATGTCAAGTGCTATACTGAAATATTTTCAAAGAACTTTTAAAAGCTATGACCTCCAAAATAGAAACCCTATAATCAAAAAGATATAATATTAATGTGAAGATAAACCATAGAACTAACTTGGACCTGTGGTTCCTGAAAAAATATATTACAACTTCAATTCTGATAGATTGTGAGCAAAATCATATGAATTTCTGTGGCTATGTTATAAAATTAAATTCATACTTTTTCCCTTCTAAAAGCAGTTTGCTTTCCTTTTTTTTTTTTTTTTTTTTTTTTTTGAGACGGAGTCTCGCTCTGCCGCTTTATACAGCTTATCCCTTATCACACTGACAAGACTGGGAACCACAGCAGATGGTCCCCCCAGACATAATTCTAACAGGTTTTTTGTGCAAACAA